ACCTTGCACTGAGTGGGAGAAGGCTGGCTTCTTGAGGAAAATCCCGGTGCTGTTATCAGAAGAGGGAGGGATGCTGAGGAAACAAGAGCAAAAGGTGTTCACTGCTTCTCGACTAGCATGATTGCACAGTTCATCTGGGCCTTGTTGAAACGCATGTTCTGATTTGGGCGATGGGGTGTGAGAGTCTGCATCTCTAACAGTATCTCTGCGACGCTGCCGCTGGTCCTCACCCTAATCACACACAGTAGCCAGGCATTCTGTTACTTTTTTTTCTCTCATTTTTAAAAAATTTTTTATTTATTTCTAGGAGAGAGAGAGAGAGAGACAGCGTGAGCAGGGGAGGGTCAGAGAGAGAGGGAGACACAGAATCCGAAGCAGGCTCCAGGCTCTGAGCTGGCAGTCAGCACAGAGCCGGATGCGGGGCTCGAACCCACGAACCGTGAGATCATGACCTGAACGAAAGTCGGATGCTTAACCGACTAAGCCACCCAGGCGCCCCTTTTCTCTCATTTTTTAAGCATTTGTTTCTTTTTGGGAGAGAGGGAGAGACGGAGCATGAGCAGGGGCAGAGAGAGGGGGCGACCAAGAATCCAAAGCAGGCTCCAGGCTCCAAGCTGTCAGCACAGAGCCCAGTGTGGGGCTCGAACACATGAACCGCGAAATCATGACCTGAGCCGAAGTCAGAGGCTTAACCAACTGAGCCACCTAGGCGCCCCTATATATCTTTTTTTTTTTTAAGTTTACTCATCTATTTTGAGAGAGAGAGAGAGAGAAAGAGTGCACAAGCAGAGGAGGGACAGAGAGAGAGGGAGAGAGAGAGAATTCCCAAGCAGGCTCCACACTGTCAGCGTGGAGCCCAATGTGGGGCTCAAACTCGTAAACCATGAGACCATGACTTGAGCCAAAACCAAGAGCTGAGGGACACAGGTATATGTAGGAGCAGCAATAATGGAAATGTTCTATGTCTGTGTCATTCGATACAGTAGCTTTGAGCCCCAGCCACTTGGCTATGGAGTACCTGAAACATTGGCAAGTCGTAATGGAGGTGAGGTGTGCTAAGCATGAACATACACACTGGGATTAGAAGACTTAGGGGAGAAAAACAAGTATAAAATATCTCACTGATAATTTGTAACTTTAAAAAAATTTTTATTTTTGAGGCATCTGGGTGACTCAGTTGGTTAGGCGTCCAGTTTCGGCTCGGGTCATGATCTCACGGTTCGTGGGTTCGAGCCCCGCGTCGGGCTCTGTGCTGTCAGCTCAGAGCCTGGAGCCTGCTTTGGATTCTCTGTCTTCCTCTCTTTCTGCCCCTCCCTGCCTCAAGCTCTGTCTCTCTCTGCCTCAAAAATAAATAAAGACATTAAATTTTTTTTTTAATTTTTAAGCCTAGGCCCAACGTGCGGTTCAAACTCAACAACCCTGAGATCAAGAGTTGCATGCTCTACTCACTGAGCCAGCCAGTGACTGGTTTAAGTAACTCGCCCCTCATTGAGCATTTTTATATGGGTTACAAGTCAATCATTTTTCACATATTGGGAAAAATAAACGTATCGTAAAATTAATTCACTTGTTTCTTTTTACCTGGAAAAATATGGCTGTAGAAAATTTTCAATTACGTACATGGCTCACATTACATTTCTAGGTCTGGTGGTCATGAAAATGAGCATGCCTGAGACCATTCTACACCAGAATAGTTCTCCTGGTTTAGGGGGACTGTCACATTTCAGGCAAATTTGACTCCTGCCAGCATATCACTTTTTAAAAATAGTATTTTATTGTGCAAAAGTTGAACTAATGGGAACTTCCTATTTTAAAAAGTTAACTTCTTTTTAAAAAATATTTATTAGCTTTTGAGAGACACCGGGCATGAATGGGGGAGGGGCAGAGAGAGAGGGAGACACAGAATCCGAAGCAGCCTCCAGGCTCTGAGCTGTCAGCACAGAGCCTGATGCGGGGCTTGAATTCATAAACTGTGAGATCGTGACCTGAGCCAAAGTTGGACGCTCAACTGACTGAGACACCCAGGTGCCCCTAAAATGTTAATTTCTTAAGGGGTGCCTGGGTGACTCAGTCGGTAAAGTGTCCAATTTCACCTCAGGTCATGATCTCACGGCTTGTGAGTTCAAGCCCCACATGGGGCTCTGTGCTGACAGCCCGGAGCCTGCTTCTGATTCTGTGTCCCTCTCTCACTTTGCCCCTCCCCCATTTGTGCTCTGTCTGTCTGTCTCTCAAGAATAAATTAAAAAAAAAAACTTTAATGGGGCGCCTGGGTGGCTTAGTCGGTTAAGCGTCCGACTTTCGCTTAGGTCATGATCTCGCGGTTTGTGGGTTCAGGCCTGGCGTCGGGCTCTGTGCTGACTGCCAGCTCAGAGCCTGGAGCCTGTTTCAGCCTGTGACTCCCTCTCTCTCTGACCCTCCCCTGCTCACGCTGTCTCTCTCTCTCTCCTAAAGATAAATAAAAAACATAAAAAAAAAAAAACTTTAAAAAAGCTAACTTCTTAAGTGTTGCTGTACCTCTAAGCCTCTAAGGTCAGAAGAATTGTCATCTGTTTTTGCTTTATCCCCCAGGGCAGGTCAGCGGTTGCTAGTAAACAGAATTGGTTATGGGTAACATTTTCTGTAGTGCTTGCTCTGTGCCAAGAACCTTTACATTTATCAACGCATTCAGTGCTCACCACCCCCCTGTCACCATCCTTTCTTAGACAGAGGTGACCTTGGATCATGCGCCAACATGAGGACCTCAGAGACCTATGGCTCAGGACCCTGTGGCCATCTTGAATATGTAAACTGATGACATAAATGACATTCAGTAGGTCGTCAGGGAAGCCCAGGGAAGCCGAAGGACCTGTCCTGCATCCCACAGCAGTGTTCTTTCCAGAACACTCTTCTGTAATCAAAATATATGCAATGTGATATTATTGTATCCCATACAGAACCACACCCTATGCGTCTTATTTCCAGAACTCTAATACATACGTAACACAAATCAAAGAAGGGTGTTTTAAATGCATGCAAGTACATTATAAAGCAGTGATTAATTGTGATAATTTTTCAAATTAATGATCCAGCACCCCAGGAGTCTGAATCAAGTCCTTACTTTATCCCCAGTGGGCAAATGGAGCTTAAGTCTTAAAGTGGTAAATCGTTGCCAGTTCCCACCAGGACAGACAAAAGCATCCTTGTGAATAAAAAGAATCTTTTTTTTTTTAAAGTAACTCCACTAAGCCTAGGAATATGGATGTTTTTTCCTTAAGCCACAAATGTGTTTATTTTACCCAGATAAGTATAACTGAGTTCCAATTGCCTTAGAAAAAATGTGTAATTGTGCAGAGATGAGGAAAACAATTACTCTCTTATGTGGATGTTTATGGCTTGTCTTCTCAACAAATACATGTGGGCATTTTGAGATAAGAAATAAAACATTTCTGCCACTTTTTACGACTAAGTTTTGACTCTGATCGGGTAAACATGTTTTCTTTAAGTATCTTTAAATTTCATGAACCCATTGACGAAGTCTGTCAGCCTTACCTCCCAAATGTCCCCCTGAATCTGTCCATTGCTTACCTCCTCCATGGTCACCACCCCAGGCCAGGCCACCACCGTCTCAGGCCCGAACTCCTGCAGTGGACGAGGTCCCCTGCCCTGCCTCCTACAGTCCATACTCCTCACCCATGGCAGCCATTATTTGAGGTGCAAATGAATCTTGTCCTCCTGGTTAAGACTTTACATGGTTTCTCATCATCTTTAGAATCAAATCCAGATTGCTCACTGGCTGTAAAAGGTGTGGCAGCCTTGTGCCGTACCACACTCCTCTTCCATGCCTGTGATGTCCAGCCACACTGGCCTCCTCTCAGTGCCTTATTCTCTCTAAGCACATTCCAGCCTCAGGACCTTTGCACTTGCTGTTTCCCTCTGCCTGGAACACTGTTTCCTCGGAGTGTTACACGACTGGCTGTTTTGTGCCGTTCGGATCCCGGGTCTGACGTCACCTCCTCAGACACAGGTCTTCAATCATCCTGTCTACAGTAGCCCTACACTGTTGTTTTCTAGCACATCCTTTTGAATTGTCCTCACATGGTTCACTACATTTATCTTGTTATGTATCTGTTTACCTGGGTTTTTTTGTCTGTGTCTCCCGTTCATCTCCAGGGTGAGCTCCATAAGGGCATGACCTTGCTTGTCTTATTCGTGGCTTTGAAAAATATGCAATAAATGTTTGCTGGGTGAACAAAGGAGGGAATGACCAAATAAACCTGCAACAGAAAGAAAAGAAGGAAGAAAGAAAAAGAGAGAGGGGGGAGAGGAGGAAGGAAGCTTGTGTAAGGCAATTATAAAATAATACTAAGGAATATGATGCCTTGACTATTATTTAGCTGGGTTGTTTGAGCCATACAATGTGACTTCACCTTGGACATTTCATATAAAATGGTAATATGTAATAATAGTGTAATTTCACTTTACTGTTTGCTCTGAGCCCCACGCTGGGCTGAGTATTTGCCCACCTACATGTTTTCTCATCCTTCCAACATCCTGCAAGTAGGCTACATTATTATTATCCTCATTTTGCTGATGAGGAACTGAGACTGGCGAGCATGGCAAATGACAAGTGAGACGTCGATGGGGTGGAGGGATCGCGTGTCCACTCAAGGCTTTCTGATCCCAGACCCGTGGCGCCTACCACCCGCACTGCTCCAAGGCTCTGCGTATTGAATTTTGATGATCCTCATGACTCATTCTCTGAATAAGTTCCCCGGGGCAGGGGTCCTCGGTAGCATGACTATGACACCTTGTCAGCCCTGTGTGGGTATGTGGCAGACGTAGATGTGGGGAAACCCAGAAGTGGAAAGGGCAGAGTGAGTTCCTTGTGGCAAGGGTGGGGTGAGTGGGGCTGGCGGGGGTGGGGGGGAGACGGGGTAGGAGGCCTAGAACTCAGCATCCAAGCCTCCCCTGTGTGTGGGGCTCGGGGCAAGCTGGGCTCACTTCCCTTCTCTCTGCTGCAGGATGGGATGCATGAAGTCCAAGTTCCTCCAGGACAGAGGCAAGGTCTCGAAAACGGAGCACAGTGCCCCGCACAGCCCTCTGTATGTGCCAGATCCTACGTCTGCGGGCAAGCGGGTGAGTGGGGGGAAGAAAGGGAAGTTGAGTAGCCTGTGGGCTGCCTTAACATCTTCTGGTTTTTCCAAGGGTGAGCAGGGCGTGTTTGGGTTGGCATGGAGGTTACCCTTGACCAACAGTGCCCTAACTCCGGGATACGTCTGCTCCGAGTACGCAAGGCAATGACATCACTCCTGGTTCTGCTGCCCAGGCTCTGGCCTCTCATCCTGGGCACCAGGGACCAGGTCCTAGAGGGCACGAGAGAGGCCCCAAGCCTGGGCAGTAGCATCAGCAGTGCTGAGAATTATGAGTGACCCGGCTAGTAACAACAGTTGAAGTAGTGACAGTAATAATATAGCAATAACCGTGATAACAATTGTAGTAATAATAGTAACAGCAAGAACAGTAAATAAGAGATTCTCTAGTGGTCATAGTAGTAGAGGTATTTGCTTCCTTGCCTTCTGCTGAAACAGAGCTTATGCTGAACCAAGCACTAGCCTGAGTGCTGCACGATTACCAACGCCTCAGAGCCTCACCGTACCCCTAGGTCACGGTTTTTATTATGCCCGTTTTACAGGTGAGACACAGAGCTTAATAACGGGCTGAAGCCCACAGGGACAGTAAAGGGCAGAGACAGGATTCAAACCTGGGCAGTGCAAGTTCCCGGCGGTGGGAGCGGAAGCCAGATGGCGTGAGGAGTGGTAGTAAAGGGCGGTAACAGTGGTGACGGCGGTAGCGGTGGTGCCTTGACAGTGGAGCAGGGTTCTCGCGCAGAGAGTTGTGTCGCCAAGGCTTTTTTCCCAGGAAGCCTCTTTATTCGCGCCGGCACCGCTCCGTTGGGTTCGTCCCCGAAGAACTGAGTCCCGAACACCACGTGGCGTAGTTTTTAAATATATTTTCTGTTTCTTTGTCTCCCGTGTGTGGGACCACACACAAACATGTAGTCTGATTAAGTGGTCTCGTGTAACAAGGTCAGGAAGGATGTTGTCATGTAGGCGCATAGCCGGGTTACCTTGAAGTTGTTGTTGTTTGTCTCCTTGGGGAGAGGACCCTACCACGACAGTAGTGCCACGAGCCACGTAGTTGTGATAGTAATAGAGAGCGGCCATATTAGTAACGGTGGTGTTGACAGGACACTACCTGTAATGGTGGTGACGGTACTAAGGCAGTCCCAGGCACCGGTGAAGCGTTTCTGCATCCTTAGTCCTCACCGAAAGCTGTGAGGCAGGACTTAGGCCACTTGAAAGCCACTGTAGCTAAGGCTCGAAGAGGTGAAATGCCTCCCGGGGGTCATCCAGCTGGGCAGCCACAGAGCCGCGTCTTTCTAACCCCAGGGCTGGGGTTCCGTCCATTCTGCGGTCCATGCCCTTGTCTGAGGGCGTCTAGGGAAGCACGGCCTCTGCTTGCTGTCTCCAGAGGTAGGGGCGAACTCCTTCCCGGGGCAAGCACTTAGAAAGTTCTTCCTCAGACTGAAGGGAAGCCTATTGCCTCATAACCCTTACTTCTTGTTCCCAAATCTACCCCCTATCCCCGAGCAAATACATCTACTCCCTGGGCCCATGACAGCCAGTAGAGAAAGGCACAGGTTTTATCCCAACCCTCCAATTCCTTCCAAATCATTTTCCACTAGACACAGGTTCCTGGCCTCTCGCCATTCTGCTTGCCCTTCTCCAGCATGCTGTCTAGAATAGGACTAATTCTGGGAATGGGCGGGTAATGGTATAATCACCTCCCTCCCTCTAACACTTGACCTCTATTAATACAGCCTGAGATTGCATGAGCTTCTCACACCAGTAATGTTCTGAAGTGACATCCTAAACCCTAAGTCACTCCTAGATCTGTTCTCTCCTAACCTGTGTGGCCCTGGGCCCTTCCTGTGGCTAGGGTTCCAGGTTCTCTGAGGCCCTGTAGCTTGGCACCCATGGGAGGCAGAGGGTTTTTTCCCACCAGTTTTTGGTTGTCTCCTGAGCATCAGATTTAAGGGATGCTATTATCAGCCATTTGTTGTTCTCCTGCAGGGTATTAGTTCAGTGTTAAGTTAGGAAGTGTTCTTTTTTTTTTTTTATTTATTTCTAGGAGAGGGAGAGAGAGAGAGACAGCGTGAGCAGGGGAGGGTCAGAGAGAGGGAGTCACAGACTGAAGCAGGCTCCAGGCTCTGAGCTGGCAGTCAGCACAGAGCCTGACGCGGGGCTCGAACCCACGAACTGTGAGATCATGACCTAAGCGAAAGTCGGACGCTTAACCGACTAAGCCACCCAGGCGCCCCATGGAAGTGTTCTTTAGAGAAAGCGTTCCCAGGCCAAATCCATTTATAAAACACTGGGCAAAACAGGCTCCTTTCTTGTGGGAGTCCTCAGAACTTTTATGAACCTTAATGGACTTTGTGAATCTCCCCAAAAAGACATACTTATCATCGTTTCCCACACCTGTTTCTGTAAGTTCACTTAAGTGCGCAACACACAAATACATTCCCCTTAAAAAGAAAAGTCATCAAGCCACGGTTAAAGCTACAGTTTCTTCTGATCAGTGTCCCCTGTCCCCAGAGGCATCAGCTGTTGTCAGTTTGGTGTGGACCCTCGCAAACCTTTTTCCACGAATTTACACTCACACACATACAGTAACGTGGGCACAGAATGTATTTAGGATGTGTGCGTGTGTGTTCTGTATAAATGTATCATGTTTATCCTTCTGAAGAACTCGCTTTGTTCACTCCACAATGTGTCTTTAAGGTCTCCTTGCTCCAGGAATGCAGTTCCACCTGGCTAAGGGCTGTTCAGAGCTGCTACCACAGTGTAGACGCCAGTTCCCCTCTGGATGAATGTTTAGGTTCTTTCATGATCATAATGGCACCTTTACGCATGGAACATACTGGTAGAGCTACAGTTTCTTCAGACGTCTCTTAGAAAACACTGATCTGGACCAACCCCTTCACCATATGTCAAGGTGGAGGGAACAGCTGGTGTCCCCCAGTATGGCCAAGGCCACAACCCAAGCCACCTGGACCTTTGTGGTCCCTCTAACGTGCCGTGTGACCTTGCATAGGTTCCCAGCCCTCTCAGGTCCTTCTCCCGTGACACGCAGGGCTGGGATGACATCCTTCTTGCCACAGACCTCCTGCGGCCCCCCACACACTGTTGGATTCATCCCCTTCTTCCATTTCTTCCCCGCAGCGGCCTGGCAACAGCAAGGACAACCCACCAGGGCCACTGGAGGGTAAGTATTTTATGTAGAGGATCAGGCGGGGCTCTCAGCCAGAGCTTAAGGCAAAAATCCCAAACAGTCAAAACCACCCTTGCAAATCCTTTAAGTTGCTCCCAGAGTACTTTGCACAGGCTATTTTGTGTCTCTTACACTGTCCAGGAACACAGAGAAAACCGCTTTAGCTTTAAACTCCAGAATCCTGCCCCACACGGCAAGATACTGACTTGCACCATGAGTCAGACCCCTCCGTGGCGCCGGGGCTGGGTGCTCGTTGTTGGGATGGGAAACCTCGGGGCTGTGGCGGTGCCCAGAGAAAGACTCGCCGCCCCGTGTCCCTCTCCCGGCAGATCCTGATGACACCACCGTGGTTGCCCTGTATGACTACAAGGCCATTCACCACGAAGACCTCAGTTTCCAGAAAGGAGATAAAATGGTGGTCCTGGAAGAGTAAGTTCCCCACTCCTAAGACGTAGCTACCTCCAGTACTCAAGCATGCGCTCCTCTGCGCTTCAGTAAAGAACCTGATAGACTATCTTTCTGAAAAAGTCTACTTAGGGGCACCTGGGTGGCTCAGTTGGTTAAGCATCTGACTCTTGGCTTCGGCTCAGGTCATGATCTTGCAGTTTTGTGAGTTTGAGCCCCACGTCTGGCTCTGCACTGACAGCACGGAGCCTGCTTGGGTTTCTCTCTCTCTCTCTCTCTCTCTCTCTCTCTCACAGTGGGGACTGTCGTAAAGATCCCTTCCCTAATCATGGAGCAAGAGCTGGGGACCGGGACAGTTGTCGCCTTGACCTTTACCCTGTCGGCTTCCTGGGGGTGGGGTGTATTCTAGGCCAAGGCTGGGGTGCCCAAGAGGAGCGGGGGGATTCCCTCTGCTCCCTGACGCCTCTGCTCCCTCGTGTCCCTCAGGTCTGGAGAGTGGTGGAAGGCTCGATCCCTGGCCAGTGGGAAAGAAGGCTACATTCCAAGCAACTACGTTGCCCGTGTCAATTCTCTGGAGATAGAGGAGTAAGTATTCCACTTTTCCTGCCCTACAGAAGGCGACGTGGGCTGTATCAGGTTTGTTCCCGCCTCGGGGCTTTTGCACTCACTATCTCCCTTCTCTGACACACTCCTCTGAGGGATTCTTGCTTGCCTGGCTCCTTCCCAGCCTCCATGTCCAGAAGAGGCCTCCCTTGACCACCCTGTCTCAAGTAGGTCCCCTCTGGGCCTCTGTCTCTTGTGGAGACCTGTTTTATTCCCTCTGAACACCCCCCGCTAGCCAAAACCATCCTGTCCCGGGGCGCCTGGGTGGCTTAGTCGGTTAAGCGTCCGACTTTCGCTTAGGTCATGATCTCGCGGTTCGTGGGTTCGGGCCCCGCGTCGGGCTCTGTGCTGACTGCCAGCTCAGAGCCTGGAGCCTGTTTCAGTCTGTGACTCCCTCTCTCTCTGACCCTCCCCTGCTCACGCTGTCTGTCTCTCTCTCTCCTAGAAATAAATAAAACATTAAAAAAAAAAAAAAACCCATTCTGTCCCTGTGGCACCTTCCCTGCCTGTGTCCCCGCCAGAATGGGAGCAGGGACCTTGCCTGTCTGTGACTGCATCCTCAGCACACACTGGCATGCAGTAGGTACTCAATAAATGTTGACTGAAGTACACGGTCGTGCCAAGGATGGCCTTCTGAGATGCGAGCCAGCCCACACGCTTGTTCGGTCACCCTACATTCGGTTCATTCGATAAATACGTGCCTGCACGTCACCAACTCTGGGCCAGACGGGACTGCAAGACCCAGTAAGATGCACCCCTGCCCTCAAAGAGCTCCCTGCGACCCCGCGTGCTTGGCTGCACGCTCTTCTTTGTGTCTGTTCTGACTCTGAAAACAGTTACACGCCATTCGTGCATCCAGCAGACCCCCGTTGGGCGTCCAGCAGCCCCGTGCCGGGGACACTAGGTGACTCAGACAGGGTTCCTCCCTGCAGATGTTCACAGCGTCGTGGGTGAGCCTGGCGAGTGAAAAGACCGCCGTGCCGCAGGGCGACGAAAGGTCCGATTCAGGACGAGCCATTCCAAAAGTTAAGAAATGGCAGTCCCTACGGTTTTATCTCCTCTGCCTCCTCCCTCTGGCTAGACGGTGTTGACGGTTTGAAATGCTGACCTGTAAAAAATGAAAATATTTGGGCTTTTTTTCCCCATCTTAAAGTCACACCCTTCTTAGTGCACATGAAACCTCTTTGCCTTGTGAAGTTTCCCTTCTCGAGGCGGTGAGGAAGACCCCTCTCCTACCATGGAATCTTCTGCCCTGGACCACCCCGCTCCCCCACCCCCTTTCCTTCTTCCCCCTTCTAGGCTTTCTCTTGGCACGTCCAATGCTCTGCTCCCGGACTCCAAGATCTGAACACTCAGCGAATCCCTGTACCACACCTCCCAGCAGCCTTGGAGGAGGCATGGCCGGTGGCACTCCTCAAGGTCAACAGACTTGCCAAGTGGAAAAGGCAGGGTGCAGACAGCGTGCACGATGGGTTATCGTTGGCAAGTGAGAGGGATAACCAAAATGGTGGTTCTCAAACTTGAGTGCATCGCCATCACCGGGACGGCTGGTTAAAATGCTAGTTTCTGCTTCAGAACTTGGCCTCTCCGACACGTTCTCAGGTGAGGCTGAGCCTGCTGTCCAGGCTCTCACCTTGAGAACCACTGACCTAAATGGACACAGCAGTCTTGCAGAGTTCTTGTATCTGCGTCCAGAAACTGCTAACAAAGGGTGCCTTTCGGGAAGGGCAGTCATGGGCATTGGGAAGCAGATGGGCCGGGGATCTTACTTCCTCTCCCGACTTGAAATAAACAATGCTTTAAATGTTTCAAAATGCAAATGGTGGGGAAGGACAGAAGAGAGTGAAGTCTCCCTTCCACCCTTGTTCCCAAACAGCCACTTCCCCTCCCCAGAAGTAACTAGTTTAAAAAAAATTTCTTTAATGTTTTATTTATTTCTGAGAGAGAGAGAGAGAGAGAGAGAGACAGTGCGAGCAGGGGAGGGTCAGAGAGAGAGGGAGACACAGAATTCGAAGCAGGCTCCAGGCTCTGAGCTGTCAGCACAGAGCCTGACCCGGGGCTCAAACCCACCAACCGTGAGATCATGACCTGAGCCAAAATCGTTCGCTTAACCGACTGAGCCACCCAGGCGCCCCAGAAGTCACCAGTTTTCTTATGAGCCTTGCCAGCTGCTTGTGCAAGAAAATACATACACATCCCTTTGTTTTACACAAGTGGAAGGTACTACACGTGTTGTTCTGCACCTTTTGTTTGGATCTTCCCTGCAGCACCTGGAGGATCCTTCCTGTTATAGCTGCAGGGTCCATCCTGTGGACCCTCTACGACCCCCTGCCAGTGATCATTGAAACTGCCTCCAGTCTCATGCTATAGTGACTCTCCTTGTATATGTCGTTTCTTCCTCATGCAAGATCGCTGGGATAACTTCGGGGAGTGGGGGAGGGGGGACTGCCAGGGAGACAGGTCTACCTTCTACCCTGTTACATTGCTTGAGTATTTCACCATGGCACGACTCACTTCACAAAAGGAAAGCAAAAAAGGTGAGTGGGGAGTGTCTAGAGGTGATTAAGAGCTTGGCTCCAGAGTTAGCCTGCCTGGGTTTGAATCCTGCCTCTGCCACTTCCCAGCTGGATGACTCCAGGCAAGTAACTTGATCTCTCTCTGTTCCTCAGCTTCCTCATCCATAAAATGGGGATCATAAGGGCCAAAATTCCATGCAGTTGTTGGGTGGATAACAAGAACTCGATGAATATTAGCAGTCTTTCTCCCCCAGTTGATGCAGAGGAAAAAGAGGCCCAGAGAGGGAAAGTGATTTGCTCAAAGTCACACAGCATGTTGGTGGCAGGTCTAAGGCCAGTTGACCTTGGGTCTGGGACTCTTTCCATAATAGCACCCGAGCCACTCCTCACCCTGCTGAGGGTAGGAATGGATTTGACTGCTGCTTGGGCTTTCCCATTCAATATCCCAAACTTTCTGGAAGGCAAATTAAAAGATCCAAGAATATGGTCCCAAGTATGAAATTATTTGAAATCTCACATTTTAGCTTTAAAATTCATGCTGAATTTATTTTTTTAATGTTATTTATTTTTGAGAGAGAGCGAGAGAGCACATGAGCTGGCAAGGGGCAGAGAGAGAGGGAGAGAAAGAATCCCAAGCAGGTTCCACGCCATCAACGCAGAGCCTGCTCTGCGGCTCACACTTATTAACCGCGAGACCATGACCTGAGACGAGATCAAGAGTTGGCTGTTTAACCAACTGAGCCACCTAGGTGCGCCTCATGCAGACTTTACATTCAACTTTACACACACAGGAGAGGATACGCTGTGAAGTATACAAATCTCAGGTCCCCACTCACACGGACCTCTGAGACCCTGAACGGATGGTCATGTGTCCTTGTGAAATTTGCAAAAGCAGGATTTTAACCAGAGTTGGCTAAGACTGTTGTAATCTTACCATTCCGTCTTCCTGTCCATCACCGAAGCCCTAATACTGGGTGGCATTCAAATGACCCATGGGCATTTGTATTTGTAATGCTGTATTCTTTTTCCTTTAAAAAAGTTTTTTTTCTTTTTTCTTTTTTGTTTTTTTATAGCTTTTTGGAGAGGGAGCTCTTTCTTTTGGTATGATTTTTCTTAAAGAAAGCTCCCCAATTTGCCTAAGTTTCTATCTCAGCAAACTGGATTCACTCCCAGTAAAATGTCTGTTTTGATTCCAAAAGAATGGTGATTTTTCCCAAAAGAATCTTGTTGGAAAATCAACGCTGCAGGAAGCCAGGCGCTTGGCCTCCTGGTGCCCTGTAGAGGCGGGACAGGACTGCCTACCCTGAGGTTCACGCAAGGCTCCCACCCCTTTCCACCAGGTGGTTCTTCAAGGGCATCAGCCGGAAGGATGCAGAGCGCCAACTCCTGGCCCCGGGCAACATGCTGGGCTCCTTCATGATCCGGGACAGCGAGACCACCAAAGGTGACACGGCCCTCCCCCTCCCACGCGCCCTGTGGGGGTGCCCCCGGCGTGACTGGCCACGCCTGCTCCCTCTGCAAATGCAACTCTGCAGAGTAACTCGCCCAGCCCACCAGACTGCCAGGTTTTCTCCTGCCCTTTGCTGGAGCCTGGATTGGGTCTTCTTAGCTTCTATAGTTCTAGGCGGGGTCCCTGGAAGTCAGCCCCAGGGGTTGCGGACCCTTAAAAAATATATTCTGTTGAAGCTTCATCTTTACTAGCTTGTATTACTTAAAATACCCATCATAGAATATCTTGCCCACAAACCCGATTGCCCCTCCTTCCAGAAGGAAGGGGTAGACCAGGGCGCTTGCTCCTGAAGTAGTGGGCGGTGAGGGTGGTTTTCTACAGGGCTGGTGCACGGGAAGCTAGAGCAGTGCCCCCAGACATCACGACACTCACACTGGCATCAATTGAGGCTAACTTTCCCAGAGGAAGGAATGTAAAGGAGTCTCGTGATTTCAGGCTTCACACATGGAAGCGTGTTTACTGGTATGTTTAGACTCGAAGCTGGTTCAAAGTAATCAAGTAAACTGTAGAAAGTGTGACCCACTGTACCCTGAGCAAACAGGTTTGGGGATATCCAACAAAGGTGTCTGTGTGGCCCTCTACTCTACCGCTAGATGCCTGACTCGGCCAAGCCCGAACATGGTAGGTTAATGCTACGCACAGTGTCTCAGGCCCGTGAATATTGGGGCTTTATTTTCTCCTGCCCAACAAGCCCCCTTCAAGCCCAGGGCCAAGAGAAATAGGACAAAAAGGCAAAGCTCTATGCAATCCCCAGCTTCTCCTCTCCAGCTGCTCTCAGGGCAGCGGGGGGATTGGTTGAGCTGGCACATTCTGCAGACAGGGGCTGAGAAGCCAAAGAAACAACCCCAGACCTGCAGGGCAGCGGGGTGAGCCTGGCTCCCTCTCACCGCTCTCCAGAGGTAGGGGCATAGGGGCCAAGTTAGCCAATTTAATAGAGGTGACAGCACGAGTGCCCTGAAGCCCATCCTGCCGTGTCTGGGATCGTGCTCCACCCCATCTAGCATCCGCCAAGCCAGCCTCACCTTGGCTGGGCAGAGTGGCAATGAGTGGGGCCCAGAGCCAGCGGCCTGGGTTTGAATCCTGGCTCTGCCACTTACCAGCTACATGGCTACAAGTGAGTTACTGCACCTGCCTGGACTTGTCTCCTTGCCTCTCAAAACCCAGGTTTTATATAGCACTATCATATGAGTGTTGTAAATGAATGAATGGGTTATTCATTCATTATAATAAATAATATGATTCATTATGTTCATATAATCACAAATCATTGTAGTGGCTGTTATTCATATTTATCTATATTATTTGGACAAAGTTCTTAGGACAGTGGCTGGCATATGTGGTCACTGGTTATTCATGCAACACTTAAAACCCCCTCAAGATCCCGAGATGTGGTGCTACTGTGACGGAGCAAATTGAGAGACAGAGAGGCTAATAGCATGCCCAAGGACACGCAGCTTGCAAATGGCAGAAGTGTGGTCATGGACTGAAAGACTTGTGTGTTTCTGGTCTATGTGAGGTCATGCACATCAGGTTCTATTCCTGCTGTCACAAATTACCACAAGCTTTATGGCTTAAAACAAGATCAATTTATTATCTTACAGGTCTAGAGGTCAGAAGTCTGAAATCAGTCTCACTGGCCTCAAGTCCGGGTGTCCGCTGGGCTGGTTCTTTCTAGAGACTTCAGGAAGTAATCTGAGTCCTTGTCTTTGTCAGCTTCTGGAGGCCACCCACGTTCCTTGGCTCATGGCCCCTTCTCTCACATCTCTCCAACCTTGTGTTTCCACCTTCAGATGTCATACCATTGACTTTGACCATCCCACCTCCTCTTATAAGGACCCTCCTGATTCCATCAGGCCCGCGTGGACAGTCCCCAACAATGTCCCATCTCCAGATCCTGAATGTCACACCCTCCAAGTCCCTTTACTATATAAGCTCACAAAGTCATAGGTTCCAGCCATTAGGACATAGACATCTGCGGGCTGTTATTCAGCCTCCCACAATATTTAATGCTTACATTTCAATAATCAGATTGCATTTTGTTGCTGCTGGATTTTTTTGTTTGTTTCTGAGTAACCTGTTTACCAATGTAATGTGGTGTCTTGGTTTTTGTGATACATGATAGACAGACAGACAGACAGATGAGAGCCAACATTTACTGAGTGTTCGTATCCTGAGTGCTATACAGCATTACTTCTTTTCTTTCTTTCTTTCTTTCTGTCTGTCTGTCTGTCTGTCTGAGAGAGAGAGAGCGCAAGTGGGGAGGGGCAGAGAGAGAGGGAGACCTAGGATCTGAAGCAGCTCCAGGCTCTGAGCTGTCAGCACAGAGGCCGATGCCAGACTCGAACCCACAAACCCGTGAGATCATGACCTGGGCCAAAGTTGCTTAACTGACTGAGCCACCCAGGCGCCCTGGCATTACTGAATCCTCAGGCAAAGGGATGAGGCAGGGCAGTATGATGACCAATCCCAGTTTACAGATGAGGCAGCTGAGGCATGGAGCGGTGACATAACACTTGTTCGGGGCATCTTTGCTGGACATGGAGGAGGCTGGACAAGAACCCAGACAGCCTGGCTCCACAGCCCGCTCTTACCCCGTACTCCATGGCCCAGGTGCCCACACGGTGTCAGCGGTGGCCTTGCGAGGGTATCAGAAGGGGGTGTCAGAGTGTTAACACAAGGTGGCAAGGCTCTGAGACCCCACTTCTGAAGGATGTCTCTCTGTCCAACACAGGAAGCTACTCTTTGTCGGTGCGAGACTACGACCCCCAGCAGGGGGACACGGTGAAACATTACAAGATCCGGACCCTGGACAGTGGGGGCTTCTACATCTCTCCACGGAGCACCTTCAGCACCCTGCAGGAGCTGGTGGCTCACTATAAGAGTGAGTCCTGCCCGGGGCCACATCCCAACCAGGGTGCACTCGTCTCCCAAGAATCCTGGTGAAGGGTGCACTGTAGTCTCTATGGCCTGCTGAGCTCTGCCTGGCCCTCCCCAGACAAATAGTTGGTTTGAATTTTTTTTAATGTTTATTTTATTTTTGAGAGAGAGACAGAGCGTGAGGAGGGGAGGGTCAGAGAGAGGGAGATACAGACTCTGAAGGAAGCTCTAGGCTCCGAGCTGTCAGCACAGAGCCTGACGCACAGCTTGAACTTACAAGCCACAAGATCATGACGTGAGCCGAAGTCAGATGCCTAACTGACTGAGCCACCGAGGCGCCCCGCCCAGTAGTTGCTTTGATTCTCCTGAAGTCTCAGGCTTGTTGAGGAGGAGGGTCAAGGTGGCATCTTGGGAATGTCCGTGATGGTAGCAGTCCATTGGAACATTGGCCACAGGCAGAGGACCAGGCAGGGAGGCCTCTGGGGAGAAGCCTCTAGCTGGCTGCCCTCCACTAACCAAGGGCTCTGTTCCAGAGGGGAGTGATGGCCTCTGCCAGAAGCTGACGGTGCCCTGCGTGTCCTCCAAGCCCCAGAAGCCATGGGAGAAGGATGCCTGGGAGATCCCGCGGGAATTACTCAAGCTAGAGGAGAGACTTGGAGCCGGGCAGTTTGGGGAAGTCTGGAGGGGTAAGAATCCAGGGCCAGAGGGCAAAGGGAGGGCATTGCTCGCAGGAACAGACGGAAGCAAAGTGGGGGTGCCACTGGGGCATACGGGGAGATTTGAATAGTTACCATAAAGGAGTAATGCCTTTGACAGCAGCCACATTGTCCGGCTATGCAAACACTGATTTGCCTTTGAGGCCAGGCTTGTTGGGGTCCAAATCTTCCTTCTGGGAAGGGGGAGTCTTGGATGAGGAATCTGCTCCCTTGTGTGGAGCCAGGACAGTCCACCAGTCTGGGGGTGGAGGTATGCAGAGGCCTCCTAGGATGACGACAAAGTGGGGAAAGGTAGTTTGGAGATTTTCGGGTAAGTCCAGTGTTGCCAACTGATGAACAGGCTGTTCGAGCACCCGTCATGTGCCCAGTGCCATGCGAGGGCATTTGTGGGGAACCCAAAAGGCATGCTGTCTTGCCCCTAATAACTTGAGGACAGCAGTGCCTTCTCTGCAGAATGTGGGGTGGCTCCCATGCCTGGCTAGTGCCTGGTGCACTCCTCCATGCTCCAAATGGGCATTAAGATGACTTACCAAGATGCAAACAATTCAGCCAGAAAAAATAAGTTTCAATTCATGTATTTCAACTACATTTCTTAAAACCCTGCCGAGTAAGAGAATGTGGCAGAGAAGGTATAGAGCAGAATGTAAAATGGATCTGGGTGATAAGGTTAGAAAATCAAAACTAGTATGTAAGGCCTTAGACTCTCACCACAGGAAGACCTCAGATATGGATTCAAGCTTCCTGGCAGCCAAGGCAAAAATGGAAACACAAGTCATTATGAGATTTACAAGATCAACAAGATGAAGCAGGGGTGTGGTGGGTTGAGTCCCTGTGGTGGGAAGGGGAGTTGGCTGATTGATATGTGGTGGGAAGTTCGAGAGGCTGATGGATATGCAGGCTGATTGGCGCACAAAAAGGAAGGGGGGGTTGGTGGATGAGGAGGTGTGCAAAGTGGGCTAGGCCAAGTCATGCAGGGCCTGTGGACCATGATGAGACTGGTGTTTATTTTGAGAGCAGTGTTAAGATTAAAGCATTTTAAGCAAAGATAGTGTGTGTATATGAGTGTGTGTCAAAGCAAAAGGGGTGTGTGTGTGTGCATGTGTGCACATGTGTGTGCAAGTAACAACTGAATGTTGTTTTGAGGTTATTCGTTAATCCTGACAATAGCCCTTCAAAGGCAGTGCTGACCATTTCCACTTGGCAGATGAGGAAACCACAGCTCAGAGAGGTTAAGTGACTTGCCCAAGGACACCCAGCTAGGACATGGTGAACCAGCCTTCAAACCCTCATCTTTCTGAGGCCAAAGCCTTTCCCTGGGATAAGCAGGCTTTCTGGAGGGGGCAAGTTTGCAGCTGGGCCTTCCAGAGCTGTGGGGAAAGAGCAGGAGGCTCTGACCACCTTTCCTGTTCCCTCTCTGGCTCCAGCCACCTACAACAAGCACACCAAGGTAGCCGTGAAGATGATGAAGCCAGGGAGCATGTCTGTGGAGGCCTTCCTGGCGGAGGCCAACCTGATGAAGACTCTGCGGCATGATAAGCTGGTGAAGCTGTATGCAGTGGTCACCCAGGAGCCCATCTACATCATCACGGAGTTCATGGCCAAAGGTGCTGCACTCTGGGGGCTGGGGATGCAGGCTGTGGCTCCTACTAGTCGGTGATGGACTCAGAGGTGACTCTGACATGGTTCTTGCCCTCAAGATGCCCTCAGTCTGGCCAGGAGCTCTTCTTGAACTTGAGTACTTGGGCCTTCACAGGCAGTGGCCCAGCCCTCCTGGTTCATGGGGTAAAGTCATTAAGGGGATCCAGGGGACGGGGAGCTCATGGAGCTACAGGAAAGGGGAGTGTGGCCAGAGCCCTGCGCGGGGTAATGGTAGAAGAGGCTTACGGGTTCACTTGCAGGCTGGGGGCAGCTCCCTGCCTCACCAGCCACCCCCTGTGTGGACCAATGCTCTGGCAAAGAGTTGGCCAAGCACTTGTTCCTGGCTGCCCACACCCTGCCCGCCAGTGATTTCTCAGGGATTTAAAAAAAATTTTTTTTTTAACATTTTTTCATTTTTGAGAGAGAGATAGAGTGCGAGAGGAGGAGGAACAGAGAGAGAGAGAGGGAGACATAGAATCCAAAGCAGGCTCAGCTGTGCTGACAGCTCAGAGACTGACGCAGGGCTCGAACCCACCAGCGGTGATCATGATCTGAGCTGAAGTCAGACGCTCAACCGACTGAGCCACCCAGGTGCCCCGGGATTATTATTATTGTTTTTTTTTTTTTAAGGCTATCCTTCCACAACTATTTTCAATCCTTGCCCATTTCTCGATAAACAGCAACATCTCACGCAACCTCATTCAGTGTGATTTTGAAACCTGAAACCGCATTTCATTTTCTAAATACACCATTAGGACGGCACCATAAAACCAGGGCCCTGGTCAGCCAGGCTCAGAAACCTCTCTCTCTGCCAAAAGAAATACCAGAGCCACAGAGGCGTTTTTAAAAACACCCACATTCTATTTCTCAAACGCAAGGGGTGGCAAGTAAATATTTTTATTTAAATCCATCACTATCAACAGCTTTGACCTATACCAAAACGGTGAGCTCAGTACCGTTGCTTCCCCTCCCCCACAGGAAGCCTGCTGGACTTCCTGAAAAGTGTAGAGGGCAGCAAGCAGCCATTGCCAAAGCTCATCGACTTCTCAGCCCAGGTGAGAGTCTAATGGGGAAGTTGGGGGCGGGCGGGGGGAGGACAGGGATTCAATGATTTATGTAACACGTTATTGGACACACTTATAATAATAGCAGCAATAATAACTAAGTTGTATTGAGTGCTGGGTACTAGCTGTTCAACTGTACAGCTGAGCCTCAAACAAAATTTGAACTGGGGCAGGTGCACTTATAGGCGGATTCTTTTTTATAGAGTACAGTACTGTAAACGTATGTTCTTTTTCTTATGGTTTCCTTAATAACATTTCTCTTCTCGAGCTTACTTTATTGTGAGAATACAGGATATAAATACATACAACATACAGAACACGCATTAACCAGTTGTTTGTGTTATCGGTAAGGCTTCCCGTCAGTAGTTGGCTGTTAGTAGTTAGGTTTTGGGGGAGCCAGAAGTTATATGTGGATTTCTGACTGTGCGGGGGTTGGTGCCCCTAACCCCCACGTGGTTCAAGGGTCAACATGTGTCTTGTAGGTACTAGTTCATCTAGTCCTCACATCAACCTTAGAGAGTGGGATTTTTATGATCTGTTCTTATGGACAGACTACTCCTAAGCTTAGTATCTTGAATTAACAACAGTGTATTATTTCTTGTGATTTGGTGGTTTGGCTAGAGTGGGCTGGGTGCTTCTTCTGCTCCACATGGCGAAACAAAGGTCACTCAGCACTCTGCTGAGAACTTGCCTGGGGCTAGAAGGGCCAACATGGCGGCTCATCCTCTGGGGTGTCTCTCCCGTGGCCCTTCATCACTCAGTAGTCCAGCCAGAGCTTCTTTACAGCATGATGGCTCGGTTCCAAGAGGGAGTATTCCAAGGGCCCTAGCTATGCGTGCAAGACCTTAGGAATCCTCTGCTCCCGTTAGGCTTGCTACTGTTTCATTGGCCAAAGTATGGCCCACAGCCCGGTCCAGAGTCAGTGTGGGAGGCTTGAGTCCCAAGAGGCATAGTCCATTGGGGGCCACCACTGTAATAGTCTGGCCAGAGACAGGTAATTGTTATCCCATTTTACACAAAAGGAAATTAAAGCATAGAGAAGTTAAGGAGAGATGAGAAAACAGAGGCCCAGTGAGGTTAAGTAAGTAGTTTGCCTAAATCACTGTGTTGATTTGGGGGGGTATGGCGGTGAATGAAATGGAGAGTATTTCTCTCCTCCCGGTGATCCTGCCTCAGCGCCGAAAGAAAGCAGTGTCTAGCAACACAAATAATATGCACAGACCCCAGAAACACTTGCTAAAATCCCTATTTCTTTCTCATCTTCCCTATACTCTTTGCAGCTCTTCTCACCCCCGGTCTGAGTGCTTTTCACTTCTGTCCTCTGTCACCCTCCCCTTTCTGTGGGACAACAGGAGGAAAGGGATGCTGTGGGAGCACATGGGTAGAGCATTTAGCGTGGTCCGGGAGCAACCCAAGAGGGCTTCCCAGAGGAAGAGGCTTCTAGGCTGAACCCTGAAGGGTGAGTGGAAATTAGGCAGCTGAAATGGAGAGAGAAGGGCATTCTAGAGAGAAGAAATAGCCTGTGCCAAGGCCCATGAGGGAAAAACAAAAGAGCTGGGCCTGGTCAGTTGGTACTTGGGACTCTCAACATGAAAGGGGTGTGGTTTGCAGCCTGGGGGCTGTTAAGTGAGATGTGCCTAGGGCCTAGGGCTGTGCCCTCTGGAGATCTCTAAGGTGGAACTCATTTGAGTGTGAAAATCCCGGGGGAGGGGGAGGGGAGAATGTCCAGAGGTGTAAAAAAGAGACTTTAAATTTTTTTCTAAAGTTTATTTATTTTTGATAGACAGAATGTGAGTGGGGGGAGGGCAGAGAGCTTGGGAGACACAGAATCCCAAGCAGGATCCAGGCTCTGAGCTGTCAGCGCAGAGCTCAACGTAGGGCTCAAAGTCACGCATATTGAGATTGTGACCTGAGCGGAAGTTGGACATTTAACCGACTGAGCCACCAAGGCGCCCCCAATAAAGCCTTTAAATTTTGGAGCCTGGAATGCCAGAGGCACATGGAGATCAAGGCCTGGTATTTTCACTTTAATGGGCCCATCCCTAGGGAAACAATAGTCTGGCCTATTACTAAATTATAACCATCAAACTGGCAGTAATCTTGCTGGGGGAGAGTCAGGCTGGGCAGAAGGCAGTCTCCCTGCTTCATAGATGGGGAAACAGAAACCAAAGGAGGGAAAGAGGCCCTTGTGTGTCCAGGAGCAGAGGGTCTGAGGACAGGAAGGAGACAACCTGAGGACGTGTCTTTACCTCCAGTCCTAGAGAGGCAGATTGTGCAGTAGAAGATGCCCCAGCCCTGTCACCAACTGGCCTCCCAGGCCTCAGATCTACTATGAACCTCAGTATCTTCATCTGTCAAACAAGGGAATTAGACCACATCTGTGCTTTTCAAGTTCAAAAGGCCTTTTTAAAGCCATAATTCTTTTTTTTTTAACTTTTTTAAAAAAATGTTTTTTTTATAAATAAAAAATGTTATTTCTAGGAGAGAGAGACAGCGTGAGCAAGGGAGGGTCAGAGAGAGAGGGAGTCACAGACTCTGAAACAGGCTCCAGGCTCTGAGCTGGCAGTCAGCACAGAGCCCAACGCGGGGCTCGAACCCACGAACCGCAAGATCATGACCTAAGTGAAAGTCAGACGCTTAACTGACTAAGCCACCCAAGCGCCCCATATTTTTTTAATTTTTAAAAAGGTTTTTATTTTTGAGAGAGAGAGAGCGCGCACGTGCACGTGAGCGTGAATGGGGGAGGGGCAAAGAGAGAGGGAGACAGAATCTGAAGCAGGGTCCAGGCTCTGAGCTGTCAGCACAGAGCCTGACCCAGGGCTCAAACTCATGAACCGTGAGATCATGACCTGAGCCAAAGTCAAGATGTTCAACCGCCTGAGCCATCCAGGTGTCCCAGTAGCTGAATATTTTAAAACAGAGCAGCTCTGATTGAAGAGAGTGCCCTTTGCTTTGTTCCCTCACCCCCAAGACAACCTTGAGGTACAGTAGGATTCAGATTCAAGAGCCCAGAGCCGGAACGGCCCTACAGACCCTTCCAGCTCTAATTCTGTGGGTTCCCTGAGAGCTCTCAGAAGCAAACCCAAGTTTTAATGCTCAACAACCAGGCAGCCTGGCTTGGTGCTCAGGAAATCTCACCACCTCAGCGACTCCTAGTTCTGAGACCAACTCTGAGCCCAGGGAACCTCTCCATTATTCACTCAGGTGACAAACCCTTGAGAAGCAATGCAGTGTAAGTACATGGGCTTAGGCGTCATGCAGGGTTTTAGTACTGATCCCAGCTCTGCCTGTGTAGCTTTGAGCAAGTTGCTTAACCTCTCTGAACGCCACTTTCCTCAACAGGGAGTATGAATAGCCACGATTAAAGTGAGTACTTATGTGCCAGACACTGTTGTAAACCCTTGATGTAGGCTTAGAGGATTGACCCTCACGCGAACCCTCAGAAGCAGGCTCTATTATTGTCCTCACTTTGCAGAGAAGAAAAGGAAGGCACAGAGGAGTGAAGTAGCTTGCTTGAGATCACAGAGCTGTGGGCCTCAGGCTGAGCTGGTCCAACTCCATTAACCTCTACTATCTTGCAAATTGGGTTAATCCCACCTGCCCCACTGAGCATATGTGAAAACCAATAACATGAATGTCTGCCTGTGGGTACTAAAAAATGGTAACTAGTAGCGTTAGTGCCTGTTCTGCCAAATCCAAGGCCAAAAATGCAGGTAGAGTCATAGGTTAGTGCACAGACTCTGAGCTGGGCTTTTGGGGTTCCAATCCTGGTCTCCACTTGGATCAGTTACTTATTTCTCTAGAATTCACCTTTCTTGCCTGTGAAATATGGCTGATAGCAATCGTGCCTCCCCCAAAGCACAGAGTAAATATGATTTCAGCTTACGTGTCATTTTACAACAAATGAATAAGCTACGATGTTTGCCATGAACACAATAGCCCTTGTTAACTATTCTGTTGTCTAAGGATTCCTGATAAATATCCCCCTCCCCTTGACCTTGTCTCTGCAAGACCTTGTCTCATCTCACCCGTAGCCTGTGATTCCAAACAAAAGCAATGTCTCAAGTTCTTGTTGGAAAGCTTGAAGCCTCACACCTCAGTTCCGGTAGCCATGGGCTCCCCCTGCTGGCCACTTCCTGCAAGTGTGCCACCCTCTTGCCTCTGACCTTGAGTAGGCTTGTGTTTTGGTTCGGTCTGTCTTACCACCCCTCCCCAAAATCTCACCAGATTGCACCTAGCTGCAATCCTCCCGAGCACTGGAGTTCTGCAGTAATTAGAGGCAACATGGGCCACAAGTATTGGAAATCCACAGACTGGTTTGAATCTGGCATTCAGAATTTTCCTGGGGGGTATGATCTGGAATAAGTTTGTCCTCCCTCTGTAAAACATATAAAGATATTGTAATAAAACCTGGCTCAAGGAGCTCAAAGTCCAGTTTGTAAATTATAAGTGCTGTTTTCTGGGTGTCTGGGAGTTAATTATAAATCTTTTTACGAGAGTTAAATGCACAAACCCTTGTAAGTGAAAAATGTCTCTGAGGAAAAAAATCCCACATCTTTCTGTCGGAGGCTTCCAGGGACACATTCATTGTGAATAAGAATCCTCCATCTAGGGGCACCTGGCTGGCTAGTTGGAAAAGCATGCAACTCTTGATCTCCATGTCATGAGTTCAAGCCCCATGTAGAAACGACTTAACTAACTTTTTTAAAAACTTAAAAAAAAGAATCTTCCATATAGTCTATTATTCATTCAGCAGCCATTATAGCATTAAAATATATATCAGACCATGTCACACTCCTGCTCCAGTCCTTCTACCATCCCCCATTGCACACAGAATACAATCCAACCTCCTCTCCAAACCTAGAAGATTCTTCACAATCTGCCGCCTCCCTCTCAACTTCAACTCCCTGTGGTAACTACCACTCAGCCCCCTGTTCCATGAACACCCAAACTCATTCCTCCCTCTGGGCCTTTGCATATGTTGTCCTCGCTGCCAGGAATGCTTTTGACACACTTAGTATCACCGCTCAGATCTTTGCTAAAACTTCACGTCCTCAAAGCAGCCTTCCCTGACCACCCAATTCAGAACATCCCTCTACACTTCATGCCCTGCTACTCTGCTCTATCCTATATGGCACTTACCATCACCTGCAGGGGCCTTGCCTGCCTCAGCACCTGTTCAGGTAATCCGTCTGACACCTGGGAGACACTCGGTAGATGTTTGTTGAATGAATAAATGAATTTTCCCTACCCAAGCTTGAGGATGAAGATGGTACAAGAGACACAGCAGAATATGACATTATCCTAGGTTGTCTCCAGAAAGAGGGTTGGGGATGAAAGTACCCCAGTATTCTGGTGTGTGTGTGTGTGTGTGTGTGTAGGTAGGTTCTGGGGAAATAATACCATTGCTTTTTCCTCAAAGTAGTCTCTGGAAGCTTGGGAACCCTAGAGAAAGCCCTCAAAGAGAACCCCTGAGATTCCCTCCAGCCTGGACATGACGGTGGAGGAATGCCAGCCTGAGCTCAGGACCCTTCCATAACAAAGGGGAAGCTGGGTGCATGCATTTCCCCGTTTTCTCAAACTTGGACACTCCTCTTGTGTTTTGGGGTGGGACCCACCTTGGGCTGGGCCACTTGTGAGGATGAAGGTGTCTCTGTTTTGGGTGGAGATTGCAGAAGGCATGGCCTTCATCGAGAAGAGGAACTACATTCACCGAGACCTCCGAGCCGCCAACATCCTGGTCTCTGCGTCCCTGGTATGCAAGATTGCCGACTTTGGCCTGGCGCGTGTCATCGAGGACAATGAATACACTGCCCGGGAAGGTAGGGAGCGCCGCTCAGGGACCGTGGGGCCCACCCGGATGCATTGTGAGTGCTGAGAGTTGAGACATGACTCTATCCTAACAGTAGCTCTGTTATCATTATGCTTGGTGGAGCCCTTCTGGATAGAGTGTCCTGGCCTATGGTCGCGCCCAGTGACTTTGATCATTTTTAGATTGCGCTAGCCAAGTGCATGTTGGAGTTAAGGGTGAGAGCGACTTTATGTGTAATAGACGAAAACTGGGAAAAACCCAAATGTCCATAAATAGTAGAATGGATATATAAGGTGTGATCCATTCATGTAATATAATGTTATGCAGCGATAAAAAATTCCAAACCTGTGCTACATGCAACAAAATTGTTGACTCTCACAGATACAATATTGAAATGAAAGAGACCCCCCCCCCCAAAAAACAAAGTAGTTGCAGGATGGCTTCATTTATTTAAAATTCAGAAACAGGCAAACTTGCATATGAATAGCAACATTGTTCCTAACAGCCAGAAAGTGGAAGTAACAACAGAATATTATCCACAGAAAGGAATATATCAGCCACAAAAAAAAGAATGAAGTCCTGATAACCTGCTAACTGTGGATAAACTTTCAAAACATTGTGTTAAGTGAAAGAAGCCAGACACAAGGATGGCATATTGTATGATTCCATTTATACGAGGCCTCAAGGACCCCCCTCTTTGGAAGCTATAGTTCACTGGGGTATCAGCTGAATCAGTGAGGTGGCCCAGAGTGTCAGCTCCCCTGCCACCCCCAGACCCTCTCCACTCTAGATATGTGTCCTCAGGATAGATATCCCTTGCTTCTGCGGAGGTGGGACTGAGGGGCAGATAGCAGCCATGCCCCTGCCCCGTTCCCTAGCTCACACCCAGCCCCAACTCTTCCCAGCCTCTCCCTGACTCTGCTGTGTCCAACCCCACAGGGGCCAAGTTCCCCATAAAGTGGACAGCTCCTGAAGCCATCAACTTTGGCTCTTTTACCATCAAGTCAGACGTCTGGTCCTTTGGTATTCTGCTGATGGAGATCGTCACCTATGGCCGGATCCCTTACCCAGGTAGGGAAGGGGGCAGCAGCTTGCGGCATTTGTCAGTGTGTCCATTCAGTCAGAGATCTTGATCCTTGATCCCCCAACCTCCCTTCACCTGTCCCCTCTCGGTTAAAGGTACCACCATCCAATTTCTTAACCTGAAAATCTGGGGGCTTCCTTAGTCCTTCCTTTTCTCTCACCCCTTGCTACATCCAAGCAGGCACAAGGTTCTGGCCATTTGACTCCAAAATACACACCCAGGGGCGCCTGAGTGGCTCCATCAGTTCAGCAACCGACTCGATTTTGGCTCAGGTCATGATCCACGGTTCTTGAGTTCGAGCCCTGCAGTGCAGAGGCTGCTTGGGATTCTCTCTCTTTGCCCCTCCCCTGCTCATGCTTTCTCTCTCTCTCTCTCTCTTTCAAAATAAATAAACTTAAAAAAATACACACCCACCTTTTTTAAAAATGTTTTTTCTTTTGAGAGTGCAAGTGGGGGAGGGGCAGAGAGAGAAGAGGAGAGACAGAATCCAAAACAGGCTCCAGGCTCTGAGCTATCAGCACAGAGCCCGACGCAGGGCTCCAACTCCTGAATGGTGAGACCACGACCCAGGCTGAAGTCAGATACCCAACCAACTGAGCCACCCAGGTGCCCCACACCTTTTTTAATGCATATCCAGACACTACTTATAGTTACTGGATCACAATCTCTGGAGGGATAGCCAGGAATCTGCATTTTTTTAATGTTTATTTATTTTTGAGCATCACGATCTCATGGTCGTGGGTTTGAGCCCCATGTCGGGCTCCATGTTGACGGCTCAGAGCCTGGAGCCTGCTCCGGATTCTGTGTATCCCTACCTCTGTCCCTACCCAGTTCATGCTCTGTCTCTCGAAAATAAATAAACATTAAAAAGAGATTTTTAAAAAAATTTTCTCCACCAGACACTGACCTCCATGAGGCCAGAAAACACATCTGTATTCCTCACTAACATATCTGCACTGCTCACCTCTGTGCTAGGCACATAGTGGATACTTAATAACTATTTGTTGAATGGATGACTGTATCCCCAATGCCTATGGGCAGCACCCTATGCTGAGTAGACCACATAGGTACAAAGATATACCCAACATGTCGATTGCCCAAGACTCAGTAAATAATGTCATTTTCTGTTCCTTTTTGGTCGGGATGTGTCTTGATGTATCTGTAGCCAGAACACTGGGGAGAAGGGGAAAGGGAGATATAAAGGGTCCCTGACTTTGTATATAAACCATCCTGAATTTGAATCTTACCCCATCAACACCACTTGGCATTGGTGACTTTGAGAAATTCACTTCACTTCTACCCTAGTGTCCTCACTTTTTAAAAATATAGGTAACAACAGCAACCTTGCAGAAGTGGTTACAAAGATTAGAAATAAGGGCAGCTGGGGCACCTGGGCGGCTCAGTCAGTTGAGCGTCCGACTTCAGCTCAGGTCATGATCTCACGGTTCGTGGGTTCAAGCCCTGTGTTGGGCTCTGTGCTGACAGCTAGCTCAGAGCCTGGAGTCTGTCTTCAGATTCTGTGACTCCTCTCTTTGACCCTCCCCTGCTCACACTGTCTCTCTCTCTCTCTCAAAAATAAATAAAACGTTAAAAAAAATTTAAAGAAATGAGGGCAGCTGGATGATTCAGTCAGTTAAGCATCTGACTCTTGCTTTTGGTTAAGTCATGGTCCCAGGAATGTGAGCTCGAGCCCCGCATTGGGGTCTGTGCTGACAGTGCAGTCTGCTTGGGATTCTTAAAATTAAAAAAAAAATTAATTTTTTAAAAATTAAATTTCTTTAAAAATATATTAAAGGGAGCACCTGGGTGGCTCAGTCCGTTGAGCTTCTGACATTGGCTCTGGTCATGATCTCGCAGTCTGTGAGTTTAAGCCCCACATCGGGCTCGTTGCTGTCAGCACAGAGCCCGCTTCAGATGCTTTGTCCCCCTCTCTCTGCCCCTCCCCTGCTTGCAGAAACATTTTTTTAAAAGATTAGAGATAAAAGATGTAGACACTTGGTTCATTCATCACCTTTGATCAAATACCTACTATTGTCAGACACTGGGGACACAGTGAGAGATGAGGTCTCTGGTCATAAGGAGCACATCCTAACCTGAAAGAGCACATACAAAATGGACAGCTGGAGATCACTGCCGAAGAGAAAATGAGAGGGAGTGACATAGGGCACCTGTGAGAGGGAGTGACATGGGTTCCCCAGCACCTGTCAGAGCAGGTCATATTTGAGCTGAAAGACAGTTCAATGAGGAGCTAGAGAAAAGAGTCCAGGTAGCAAGCATTGCTTGCTAGCTCTTAGATCCAGAGGTGTGCCTGAAGAAAAGCAAGGAAGCCTGGGAGCTAGAGACAAGGAATGGGAGCAGATGGTGAAGGATAAGGTTGGCAGAGGCCAGATCAGGGAGGGCCTGTGGTCATGGTGAAGAGTGTGGACTGTGGGTGTTAGTCTAAGTGTATGGGAGCCATTGGAGGGTTTGGAGCAGGGAAGTGGCTTCATCTGATTTCCATCTTTAAGTGATGTTTTGGTTCAGCATGGAGATTGGATTGGGGTCCACTCTTCAGCAGTGGGGACAGACAAAAGTTGATGGGTTGCTACTACATTTCAAAAGAAGGAAAATGTGACTTGCAGATATGGAAGGAGAGAGAGAGAGAGAGGAGAATCCAAGTTGATCCTCTTGGTTTTAGTTGAGCAGCTGGGTAGATGATGGTCTAGGGGTAGGAATTCAAGAGTTCTGGTTTAGCCCTGTAAATTTGAGGTGACTTGAAACATCTAAGTAAAGATGTTCAAAGAAGCACTTGGGTATATGAGTTTGGTGCTCCAGGGTGGTAATATAAAATTGGAGATCATAGACATGTGGAAGATTCCTAAGGATATCCCACATAACCTTCAATTGAACAAGGAAATGGTCCCACTCACAGAGTGACATAGGGACAGGCTGCCTGATTTTTCCTGAGAGTACACCAGTAAAAACCAGGCAATGGGTTATGGAACCTGAATCCATTAGGACACATTGGGCCGTAAGTAACAAAATAACTAAGAGTGGCAGAAACAATAGGCAAGTCATTAGTCCCCATGATGAGGAGCCTGGTGTTGGTGACTGGCTGGTTCAGGTGCTCAACAGCACTCGGGACTCTGGATTAGCTTCCCTGTGATTGTGTTCCCTGTGCAGCTACTGCAGCTCCAAGGGTCATGTGTCTTCGTGTTGAAGGAAACGGAGGGGTGTATCTTCCAAGGCCTCTTTTCTCAACAGGGAGGAACACCTTTCCTGGCAGTCTCCCGAGAGAATGCCCCTCAGCTCCCGTTGGCCAAAACTGGGCGCCATGTCCCTGCCCTAACTGCAGGGGAGGCTGGGGAAGGGGTACCTGGCTTTCACAGTGGGAGGGGCTCAGCTCCCAGGGGAGGTAAGAAGTAATGGCTACTGGGAAGGCAACAGCGTCTGCCACCCCTGGGTTCCCTGTTGCAGTCTCTCCCTTTTTCACTCCATGGCTCCTTCTCAGGGATGTCAAACCCTGAGGTGATCCGGGCACTGGAGCATGGATACCGGATGCCTCGACCTGAGAACTGCCCAGAGGGACTCTACAGCATCATGACGCGCTGCTGGAAGAACCGCCCCGAGGAGCGGCCCACCTTCGAATATATCCAGAGCGTGCTGGATGACTTCTACACGGCCACCGAGAGCCAGTACCAACAGCAGCCATGATGGGTGGGACCCGGGCAAGGCCAGGTACCCAGCTGATGCCCAAGTGGTGGGTCCCGCGCCCTCTGCCTGGCACCTGCTTGCCCCTCCCACTCCTGGACACCCACCCTCCTCCCAGCCACAGTGCCTCATCTGCCAAGCAGGGGGGCTGAACTGGACAGTCTCTTTTTGACTCTAGCCATCTCCAATCTGTCATCCTCAGGAGAGCCAAAGCTGATATTTCTTCTCGTGCCTGGGACAGCTGGATTCCGGTTACAGCTGTGGTTTGGATGGGAAACTTTAAAAAATCATGAAATAAATATTTAAATAAAAGATACGAATGCTAAAGGCTTTCCTGCCAGCTTGTCTCATTCTACAGGTTCCTGAATATCTATTTGCCTTTTTGCCGGATGATAAGTCAGAAAGGGGCAAGGACCCTTCCAAAGACCAGCCGTCTGAAGAGAAGTGGGGTCCAAGGCTCCAGGTTTTCTGACTGCCCTCACAATAGTCACTGGCTGTGCTAGTTTCCTATGGCTTCTGCAACAAATGACCACAAACTTGGTAGCTGAAAACACAAATTCATTATCTTACAGCTCCAGAGGTCAGATGTCTGAAGTGGGTTTGGCAGGGCTACGTGCCTTTTGGAGCCTCTAGGGGAGAACTCATTTCCTCGTCTTTTCCGGCTTCTAGAAACTGACACATTCCCTGACTTGTACTTCTCTTCCACTCTGAACAGCTCATCATCATACCTTCTCTGACTGGCTCCTGCCTCCCTCTTTCACATGTAGGGATACCTGTTAGTACATCGGGCTGCTAAAGACGAACTTTTCCCTTTCAAGATCCTTAATCATATCTGCAAAGCCCCTTTTGCCACGTAAGGCAACATTTCACAGGATCCGGGGATTAAGACAGGGACTTCTTGGGCAGGGAAGAGGGGCATTATTCTGCCAATCGCATTGACACTGGGATACTGGATGGGTTATTGTCTCCAAAGAGCTGAATTTGTCAAGATGATAGGAATGATTTTTCATGACCGGGGCCCTGACTTCCCTGCCAAGATACATTGATACTTAAGCTGGTTAGTCTGGGTCTCCCTGAGGGCTGCAGGGCTGTCTGAAGCCCGGGCATTTCCCATGGCCGACCAGCCATCGTGGCTGTTAAGATGATATCCATCATTGTAGGAATACCAGGGTCTGGAGATGTGCTTGCTGAGAAGTATCCGGTACCCTGTGTGGGAAGCTCTCAGTCAAGGGGAGGGAGAGGTAGGAAGGAAGTAGAGAAGACAATGATCAATGGGCCCTTCCTGCATGTTGTCTCAGTTGAAAGTGCCTGATATTACCTTTGGTTATAAGGGGAACAATGGGAAGAGGTGGACAGTGAGATGGGGAGCCAATGGCAGCTTTCTATATTATTGCATCCCCTGATAGTTACTTCACAACACTTTCCAGGGTCCCCTGGAGCTCTATACTGAATTGAATCTGTACCCGAGTAGCACAGAGGGACTGGGTCTAAGCAGTGGAAAATATAGCTAGCCAGTGTTTCAACTTACCTAGTTGGTAACTGAATTTCTCTCTTGCATTCTTGTTTGGGATATGTTTTTGGGTATGTGGAAGCAGAGCTCAGGCTCCCACAGTAGGAATTTGCACTCACAATTTATGGTACATGGATTGCTCTTCAGTAATCCATAGGAGGGAGCCTGTTGCTACGTGGACAAGTCCATTCCTACCATCCTGCTCTTTCAGTTTACTGCCCTGTACTGTGATTTATCCATCTGGTCACAGGAAAGACAGATTAAAACATGGGGACATATGCAATACCAAAGCACAGCCCATGAAAGAAAATATTGATAAATTGGACTCCATTAAAATTAGAAACTCTGCTTGGAGAAAGACACTGTTAAGAAAATGAAAAGACAAGCTCCAATCCAGGAGAAACTATTTCCAAAACACATATCTGATAAAAGACTGATACCCAAAATATACAGAGGCCAACGATCTTTAAAGGCCAACGATAAGAAAACAAACGACCCAATTAAGAAATGGTCAAAGACCTGAACAGACACCTCACAAAAGAAGATATGCAGGGGTGCCTGAGGGCTTAGTTGGCTAAGTGTACAACTTCAGCTCAAGTCATGATCTCACAGTTTGTGAGCCCGAGTCCCCGTCCAGCTCTGTGCTGACAGCTCAGAGCCTGGAGCCTGTTTGGATTCTGGGTCTCCCTCTCTCTCTCTCTCTCTGCCCCTTCCTGGATTATGCTCTCTCTCTCTCTCAAAAATAGAACAAATAAACATTAAAAAATAAAGAAGATATGCAGATGGTAAATAAGCATATGAGAAGATGTTCAACATCATATGTCCTTAGAGAAGTACAAATTAAAACGAGACATCCCTACACTCTACTTAGAGTCCAAACACTACCAACATCCAAACACTGACAGTACCAAAGGCTGGTAAGGACTTGGAGCAACTAAAAGTCTTATTCATTGCTGGTGGGGATGCAAAATGGTACAGTCACTTTGGAAGACATTTGGTAGCTTCTTACAAAACTGAACGTATTCTTCCCACACAATCCAGTAATCGTGCTCCTTGATATTTACTCAAGCATGCTGAAATCCTCTGTCCACGCTAATGTTTGTAGTAACTTTATTTACAATGTCAAAATTTGGAAGTAACCAAGATGCCCTTTTATAGGTGAATGGATGAACAAACTGTGGTAGATCCATATAATGGAATATTGTTCAGTGATCAAAAGAAATGAGCTATCAAGACAAGCAAGAACCCTACATGCACATAGCTAAGTGAAAGACACCAACCTGAAAAGGGTACACACTGTACAGATTCACTGTGACATTCTGGAAAACACAAAACTTCAGAGATAATAAAAAGATCAGTGGTTGCCAAGGGTTTGGCAGAGAGGGAGGGATGAATGAGGTGGAATATAGGGGAGTTTTAGGGTAGTGAAACTATTCTGTGTTATACTCTTAATGGTGGATACATATCATTATATATCTGTCCAAACTCAATGGATAGCACAAAGAGTGTATTCTAATGTAAACTACAGACTTAATAATAATAATAATAATAATAGGCTCATCAATTGTAACATGAAGCATACTAAGGCAACATGTAAATAATAGAGGAAACTGGAGGTCAGGTGAGGGAGTATATGAGAATTTTGTGTTTTCTACTCATCTTTCTGTAAACCTACAACTGCTCTAAAAAATAAAGTCTAGGGGCACCTGGGTGGCTCAGTCGGTTAAGAATCCAACTCTTTTTTTTTAATGTCTTTATTTTATTTTGAGAGACAGAGAGACAGAGAGCGAGTGGTGGAAGGGCAGAGAGGGAGATAGAATCTGAAGCAGGCTCCAGACTCTGAACTGTCAGCACAGAGCTGATGGCGGGGCTCAAACTCACATACTGTGAGATCATGACCTGAGCTGAAGTCAGATGCTCAACCAACTGAGCCACCCAGATGTCCCAGAGTCCGAATCTTGATATCGGCTCAGATTGTAATCTCACAGTTCACAGTTCAAGCCCCATGTCAGGCTCCATGATGACAGCACAGAGCCTGCTTGGGACTCTCTCTTTCCCTCCCTCTCTCTCTGCTTCTCCTCACTCATGTTTTTTCTAAGTAAGTAAGTACATAAGTAAATGTTAAAAAATAAAGTCTGTTGGGGTGCCTGGGTGGCTCAGTGGGTTGAGTGTCCAACTATTGATTTGGCTCAGGTCATGATTTTTCAGTTTGTGATATCAAACCCTGAGTTGGGCTCTGCACAGAGCCTGCTTGGGATTCTCTTTCTCTTTCTCTGTCTCCGCTTCTTCCCCCACTCCCCCACCTCTCTCTCTCTCTCAAAAATAAATAAATGTGTTTTCAAGTCTGTTAAATAAAAAAGAAAACAAACAAAAACATGGAAATAAATTTTGTGCCACCAGTTCTTTGGGAAAACCCCATGCACTCCTCCCCTAGAAGGCAGCAAAGGAAAGCATAGATAAGATGCCCCATTCTAAGGGGGTACCTGGGTGGCTCAGTCAGTTGAGCATCGGACTCTTGATTTTGTCTCAGGTCTTGGTTCTTTTTTTTAAACAACTTTTTGAAAAAGTCTCTGGTAACACTGGTACTGTATCCACTTTACAGCACTACATGGAATAAATGAACTTTCAGATCTGTCCCAATTTTAACACCATGACTCTTTGAGTCCCCTTTCCAGATATTGGAAATTGAGGCTTAGCAAAATTGAGTAACTTACCTCCAGTCACAGTCTTGCTAACCAGACCATGGTGAAGTTCCTAGTCAAAGATGTCTTCCTCCACTAAACTTGCTGCTTTTCATCGTTTAATAAGTAGTGTATTGTTTTGGGCACCTACCATCTACCCGAAGGATTACACATACGTGTAAAATGACAATTACTTATTGAATACATTCCATATAACATTATGTCACTGGATCCTCATCATAAGCCTATTATTATAATTTCCTACCTGTTTTGCCAATGAGAATAAGGTACAACAAGGCTAAATAAAAGACAGGATCCTACCCTCACAGGAATTATAATCTATCAGAGAGAATGTAAAATAGTCAAGCAAATAATTATATACTTAATTACAAATTATTCTCGGAGCTGGGCTGCTATTGGAGCCCTGGTACCCATCCCACTCATTAAATCAAGGCCTCAGGTAACCCTGGCAACGGGCTTCCTGCCAATAGTAAAGATGGCGTCCAGAGAACAGGCGCGTTTACGCACACCCCCATTACCCACAATACAGTGGGGAAAAAGAGGAGGAGCAGTCTCTGCCAGGAGTTAATATGGCCCCGATAGTTACACCATCCTTTCGTCACCTAATCTGGACTGCCCAGACCAGGCTGCCGAGCAGGAGCTAAATCTTTTCGCCCCTCTGCTGAACACGACTGCAGGAGAGACTGAAGCCAGACAGCACCGCGAGGAATTAAACTCCGTAACCAGGGAAACACCACTTCCGCTGACGTCATTACGGCGACACGTGGATCCAAGATGGCGGCGGCGATGGTGAGTGAAGGAGACTCCGGGAGCCAGAGCTGGAGCGGGGCCCTCCGGGGGAATCCCAGAACCTTCCAGCGCCCCATGCCTGGCCCGAGCCACCTCCGGGACCCCTAGCTCAGTCCTGAGGGACGTTCCTGACTGGGCTTGACTCTCCCAAACTCTCTCTCCCCGACCCTGGCCCCACACTCAGGCTTGTCAGGGCCCGGAGTTTTGGGGGAGGCACTCGGTCGGAGGGAAGGTCTCGGTTACCTTCTCCGCCGGGTCCTATTCCACCTTTTGTCTCCACCTCCTGTGACCCCCGTTTTCTAATTTTCACTCCCC